TATATATATATATATATATATATATATATATATATATATATAATTTTTCAATTTAAATTATAGTATCTACAACATTATATATTATATCTATATATATGTATATTGTGCTTCAATAAAACTGGAGGCATCTATCTTGCTCAACACGTTGTGCTTAGATTCAGCGTACTTTTAATTCGCTGAAAAACATGATGACCGCTGAGTAAACATGTTGCGTCGCTGAATGCGTTAAGTACCGCAGAAAGTTCAGTAGAAAATCATAAAATGGCTAATGGCTGCGTTCAGCAGAACACAAAAGTTGCACAACTGTTTTATGATTTTCTCCTGAACGGTACTTAACGCATTCAGCGGCGCAACATGTTTACTCAGCGGTCGCCATGTTTTTCAGCGAACTGAAAGTACACTGAATCTAAAGGTGCCTTTACATGGAAGCATCGAGCGTCAGCGTTAAAGCGGTAGCCAATCAACGTGCCACTTTCCGCAAGAACTACAAGTACTTCTGGAACCTGATACGTTGATTGGCTAATGCTTTAACGCTCGACACTGGAACGCTCCCATGTATTGGCACCTTAAGCACAACGTGTTGAGTAAGATGGATGCCTCCAGTTTGGTAAGCGGACATAATCCATAAAAAAAGAGGGGATAGCGTTGGCAACGTTCAAAAGTTCTTAGGATCCATAAATTCATTTCTCAAGGTTAATATCATTGTTAGACGGGAAAATGCACAACAGAGGTGTATTTTTTTTTCCTCTAGATTGGTGAAGATATCACCGTGCCATCAGCCTTCCCCGAGGTTTTAGCGACTATTTGGCACTCTATCCTCTTCTTCTTTTAGCCTAAAAAATAAATTATTCAGCCTTCCCACCAGGTACCCCCCTTAGTTTTCTTTCTCTCTCTCTCTTTTTAGATCTGTTTCCCTATTTTCTTTAAAAACTGAAATGTGATGAACAATATATCCCATTCTTCTTCTTGTATCAATTTATCTACATTACATATTACTCTCTTCCCTTCTCTTTCAATTTTTCGGAACATGAATTCCCTTTCCTCAATATATTTTCCGCAACTGTATAGGACGTGATTTATTGTCTCTTTTTCAGCTCCACATTCATACGTTTCTATATCAATTATACCTTTTTTTCCCAGCGATTCGTTCAAATTGTAATGATTCGCTCTGATCCTATTCATCATTATGCTAAACCTTCTAACATCGTTTCTCCCTTTAAACCAGGGGCTTTCTCTCTTGCTGTTGTAGAACTTCTTAAAATAATCTTTACCCTTCCACTCACTCTCTCTAACATTTATCGCTCTTGTTCTTCTCCTCCCCTCTTTCTTGTATTCCTCCTTTAAATTTTTGTAGGGCACTTTAAGTAGCCTTGTATGTACATTTATAAAGATATAATATATAACGTTGTGGATACTATAATTTAAATTAAAAATTATATATATATATATATATATATATATGGTTTTGCATCAGCGTCGCAATATCCAAATCCGTACATGTTTATGCCAGCCAATCGCAGAGTAGCTGAGTAGCCGATCACATGACCAAGTTGGCGATTCTCTTTACTAGACGTTCTCTACCCCAACCTATATAGTACACAATGTTCTATGAATATTCTTATAAAATGCGAATATTCTCAATTTCAGCATATTCAAATGAAATGTTCAATAAATATACGTAGAATATTACAATTAGAGTCATATTTTCATAATGAAGAAGAACATCCTAAGAATATTCTTCAAAAGTATAGAATATAGAATATAGAATAGTAGAATATAGAATATAGAATAAGTATAGAATATAGTGTATAGAATATTTGTCGAGAATGTTTGTGGAATATTTTTCGAGAACCATTTTAGAATACACGTTCCAAACTATTTTAGAATACTCATCGAATTTATGTATTGCACATTGTTTATGGTATAATACATGTCTTAATAACTTCTGAGAAAAGTAGTGAAATCTGTGATTACATATAACCGCCCAGATAGCCAAACCTGCGCGAACAGATTTCGAGCAGAGCTTGCTATCAACTTTTGATGGCAAATAGATAACAAATTTGATGCAGGATCTATTATATCAAATCTTGCTGCCAAATTGCCGCCAGATATGCGGCAGAATTTTGTTGTCGGAAAATTGCTGCAGATTTGCAGCAAAAACCGCGCAGAACTTGTAGCGATTTGATGGCAGATTGGCGGCAGAAACCGCGCAGACCTTGCTGCGCTGCAGGCTTTGTGCGGTTTTTGCTGCAAATTTGGCACCAATTGCCCGACAGCAAGATCTGTTGCCAAAACTGTAGCCTAATGTAGACACAGATGGCTATGGTTTTGCTGTGGATTTTTTATTAAATTTGCTGCCAATCTGCGCGCAGTCTGCGCTCAATTTGCTTACTGGGTACATATCAGTAAAATAAAAATACATCTTTAATTATCCATACACATTTGCAGAATACAAGTTAATTATAATAAAATTTACAATGTATATACTTTTCTATTTACTTCCCTTATAGAAATATCATACTAAGAACAATTGATAATTACTTATTATCCAGTATTTTTAATACTGAAAATAAGTAATTATCAATGATTCTTAGTATGATATTTCTATAAGGATTCTCAATATTCATTACTTATAAAGCGTGTAAATATCTACGCAACATTCGCGCAAGTTTCTTTTCATCCGCTATACAACTGTGACTGTATGATAGACGATTTCTTAGAATTTTGAATGATGAGCTTGATGAAACTAATAAGATTGTATAATAGAGTCTTAAGAGCAGACGCTACAAATAATTGCAGACTTGATTACAGAAAAGCAAAAGAGACTACAAGTAATTGCAAACCTGACTACAAGGAAACAAAAACTTCTTTAAAAAAAGATAACCATGAAAGAAATTCAAGTATATGATTTTCAAAAAGTATCTATTAATATACTGAACGATGATTGCTTAAAACATATTTTTAAATATTTACCAATTATTGACAAAATGCGTATAGAAAGAGGTAAGAAATTCAACAAATATAATTTACAGTTATTTCTATTGCCTCAGATAGATATATTTCTTTATATTATCTGCTTAGTGGCCTGGTTTATATCGTGCACTTGATATGCATTCTAAACAGTAACTTTCTATCAGATAATCTTAAGATTATCTAATAGAAAGTTACTATTTAGTACGCGTATCAAGTGCACGATGTAAACCAAACCACTGATTATGTTTATACTATTATGATATATATATATATATATATATATATATATATATATATATATATATATATATATATATA